TCAGTCATCGATCACAGATTGCCACGATCTCAGTGTCGAGTGAAGAGAGGAAATGCTTACATAGCTCTGCAGGTTTGCGCGATGACCTGATCCATGAAACTCGCTGATTCTTCGACCAGTTATAATCTCAAGCACCAACACTCCGTAGCTGTACACATCTGATTTGTCCGAGACGTGCCGATGCAAAGCATACTCTGGAGCAATGTATCCGCTGCACAATGCCACAGATGAACAGGGGACAACAACGGAGGAGCTTTTCAACAAAACGAATTCAAAGTTTTGACTCACTTTGTTCCAACTATTCGGCTAGCACTTTCCTTTGATCCGTCAAGGTCGACCAACTGCTTTGAAAGACCAAAGTCAGATATCTTGGGGTTCATGTGCTGATCTAGCAAGATATTACCGGGTTTTAGATCTCGATGAATAATCCTTAGGCGGGAATCCTCATGAAGGTAAAGAAGTCCTCTTGTAATCCCTTCGATGATCTTGTAGCGCCTTTCCCAGTTTAGTTGACCACATTTTGTGGGATCTGCTTCACCGTGGTTGAATGAGTTCATTGGCAATTAGTTCATTAGCAATCTTTCAGTAAAAGGAAATGGCATGGACACTAATAGGAGCTCTTAGATAATACATCCGTTAGCATCTCATTAAAAGCTTTGTTTTCAGAAAATTAAGAAGATGGAGGAGGATCGTACCAAACAAAATTTTGTCTAGGCTTCTGTTTGGGAGGAACTCATAGACGAGTAGCTTCTCTTCTTCTGAGCAAAACCCGATGAGCCTCACAAGATTTCTATGCTGAAGCTTAGCAACAAAAGCAACCTCGTTTCTTAGCTCTGCATATCCTTGCTGTGAGCTTCTTGCGAGTCTTTTCACAGCTACTTCCTGGCCATCAGATAGTACGCCCTGTTCCGTATTTTGGGTAAGATGAAGCTCTGGTGTAATTAAATGTAGACATAAAGTTTGCAGTGTTTACTGCAAAAAAGGATAAACCACTGGCTTTAACCATATAATTGACCTTATAAACTGGTCCAAATCCCCCTTCTCCAAGCTTGTTTGCGTCTGAGAAGTTATTGGTTGCAACCTTCAGTGTTTCAAAATCAAATAACAGAGAGTTTGCCTTTTGACTTTTCGCTCCTCCAACATCTGATCGTTATATAAATTTTTTTGTTAAAAAAAAAGAATTGGTTTTGGCAAATTTTTAACATCTAAATGAATAAGAAACAAAAAACATAGATGGAGACAAATAAATTTACATACTCGACTTTCTGGCAAATATTTTCGTCCTCCACAAAAAAATCAAAAGCGCAGCGACAAGCATCACAGCACCGAGGATGGGGATTACGACAGCCACTACTATTTTAGAGTTCTGCTTTTTTCCTGAATTAAAACAATAAACAATATCTGATGAATATTTCCATCTGCTTATAATTAAATTTTAATTATGTACAACTTGCAACAATTGGTAGGAAAATATGGATGAATCGTTTGTAATTTAATGCATGTACATAAGTTAATTGTGTACTGTAACTTGCCTGCATCTCTCGCTGATGATGACGAAGAGTTGGAGTTCACCACAGCAGGCGGAGGCGGTGGATTGGCCGTAGCTCCAGGCGGAGGTGCTGAAGAGAGTGCAGATGACAGCGGAGGCAGTGGAGATGTGGGGACTGACATATTATAGTATGAATAGGTCTCGAACCTCAAGAAGCACTTGTACTTAAACACCCGTCCTCCCTGGTGTTTCCAGCAACAAATCGGCATTAAATCCAACGACTGCAGAAGACACTGAAAGCAGTCATCATCAGACTGATCCCTGGTGCACTGCACCAATCCGTACACTTTGATGAAGCTCGAAAAGTTGGCTTCTCCAATGGCGAACATGCTGTCAGTCTTGTAGGCAGCCCAGTTGATAAGGGCATCCATCAATTCCCCCACCAGATCCACGAATCGCGGCGGCCCCGGAACTTCTTCTACGTTGTATAAGATTTCGTAATAGGATGATTTATCGCTCTCGTTCGAGAAAGTTGTGTTGGAGTAAGCAAGGAAGCAGAGATCTCCCCAAGTGGCCGCATCTTTTGCGAAGGGGCAGCTACTGCGGAGGGTGTCGACGGCGGTGGCGAGGCAAGCTTGGCATATGTCTTGAGACACGTCGAGTTGGCAACGCGCCAGGCCGAAGACTTGGTCTGGGGAACGCCCTGCAGACGTGTTCGCGGAGCCGGTGGAGACGGTGGCCGAGGTGAGGGATGGGAGGAGGAGGTTGAGGTTGGAATGGTAGGTGCTGTTGGTGGTAAAGTTGGAGTCTGTGGGACACCTTTCTAATGATGCAGTGTGGCGTGCGTTATAGAGGGAGAGGAGGAAGAGGAGCTGTGCAAGCATCGGGAAGTAATTCCAGGCATGCATCGTGCAACTGATTTTGGGATGCCGTGGAGGGAGCATAGAGAGACGTAGCTTACTATATATAACACATTTGGAACAAAGTTTAATTTGGATGGTGGCCGTAGTTTGTTTCATTGTAGTACCGTGTAATACACACTAGAAAACGTTGCACACAAATGATTTACTCAGTGGGGTGGAATTGGTCCATGACAAGTTACGTTCAGAGAAATTTATTTCATAACAATGGTGGTCATATAAAGTTAGGTGACCGAAGGATACGTGACAATGGCCCGTTGTACCTTTGAACGGGCCCTTCGTTGGTGTTGGGGTTCAAATGTAGAGGGATCAACAAGATCGGGATTACAGTGATTTAAGTGATGCGAATCTTGTTGACTTTGTTCCCACGCGTAGGACGCAATGACGCGGATCAACAACACTGCAATTTCTTATCGAACGAAGACTCCCCTGCAAGAGATGATTTCGGCAAAACACCCATTTAATGCACGCGGCAAAATACTTCTTCCTTGGGTGTCTTTTCGTCACAGAAGATAGGAGAAAAGGACACCAATGAGACCTGATACAAAATTAGATTTGACGTTAATAAAATAGCTTCCGTAGTTTATATATAAGTTTACAAGAAAGAAAATGAATGTTTTAGAAAATTAAATTTCTTTTTCATTCAGTCAAATTATCTTCTTTCATGGAACTCTAAAAATATCAATAAAATATTTACAAATTTTTTTTTCTAAAATATCAATAAAATTTATTTTTCTAAAAAAAAATCTAGGACAATCACAAACTTCTTTTTATGCGGGAGTTCAAGCTATACCAAGTTAGTCCAACTTATAAATTTGAAGATAATGAATTACTAATTTCTTGGAATAGATGGGTGGCAAACGGTGTGCTTTTTTGTTATATTGAATTAATAGAGACTCGACATATGGAGTCCAATCAATTTAGTATCGATGATGCATCAACCAAGTGTATCACTTTGGTATGACATTCAAAGAGAATATTCTTCTTTCATTTAATCGATAGTTACAATATTAGCACTATACGAAGAATCCTCCCCAAGTATGTTTTGACTTGACCATTCTGAATTTATATAATTAAAATAGATATATCAAACTGCTCATAAATATTTTTTTTTCTCGCAACGAACAAGCAAGCAAAGACTTGACTAACAAACACGTTTTGGCGAATAAATCATCGGCATAGTCTTTGGTAGAAACTAAGAAACCAAAATATGAAATACAGATATCTTCTACTCTACTCTCAAATTGAAGTTAGATGCGAGATATAGATATTTTCCTGTCCTCAAATAAAATTTACCTCCAATCAGTCTAAATTGTTTTTCTTTATTAATACGACAACACTCAAATATGAACTAAACGGTGTGTTGTTTGTTTATTTTTTGTGCCACAATTGTTTCTGAAGGTATAAAGATGATATCTTAATTTAAGAAGCTGGTTTTGTGATGCAAGTGCTCATTCGGGTTCATGTTCTGCCAAGCAGGGACAACTGCGGGCATGCAAGATCATTTGGCTTCATATCATCGTTATCAGGGCAGCTCGTTCTGAGAGTTTGTGCGTGTCAAGCCACTCGAAAGCAAGCGGACAGGCAATCGCACAGGCCACCTCCGATGGGATGACCCAATGTCGGCTGCTGTTTCAAGCACCGCGACACATTCTAGCGTACATCACATTCGCAACGGAAGAGGCTTTTGGGCTTTCTCGGCTTAATGGCAAACCAAAAAGGTTCGAGCCATATGTTGGGTTCTTTGGCAGATCATCTGACATTGTTCCATCGCCGTCGTCAATTTTGCCCGACCAAAGTTCTATCGATAATAATTAGCCAAATCTGGAAATGTTCTTATGGAGGGCAACGAGGAAAGAGTCAACACAACTTTAGGAGAGAAAGCCAAAGAATCCTCTAAATGATCCAAAGTCATTCTTTCATAAGAGAATAATAAAATTCTCATCAAACCATTTGATGTGCACACAATGATCCGAAGTCATTCTTTTGTATCCATTTTCTATCATAAATGAATCAAACTTTCTGTATCACTGTCTAGCTTCCTTAAGCCATACAAGCTCTTCCTCAACTTGCAAATGAAGTTTTCTTTACCTTTGACTTTGAAGCCTTTTAGTTGCTCCATATAAATTTTCTCCTCTAAGTTACCATGAACGAAAGTCGTTTTCATATCTAACTGTTCAACCTCCAAGTCCTAGCTAGTAGTAATACCAAGAGCAACATGAATAGAAGATATTTTAATAAGAGGAGAAAAAATATCTTCAAAATCAATATATTTCTTTTGACCAAAGCCTTTCACAACCAATCTAGCTTTGTACTTTAGTTGATGAAAATATTCTTGAGTCTTCAACCAAAAAATTCACTTGTTCTTCAAAACTTTAATTCCTTTTGGTAGTTACACCAAATAATAAGTGTGGTTCTTCGAGGCTTTCTAGACCTACCCATTTCTCGTCTTAATTCCTTTTTCATGCAACAAATCCTATAAGAGGCGAACAACTAATTTGGGGAATTCGATACAAGATCATTTATGGGATTGCTAAGGGCCTGCTTTATTTGCACCGCTTGACACATTGTCACTGGGTGGTACCACTGCCCAATCTGGCGGTACCATTGCTTGACAACATCGGAGACCGGGTTTTTCAAGTTTTCCAACTCACAAGCGGTTCCATCGCTTGACCCAACTTTTGGGTCACTAAATGGGCCTTCGAATGAGCCCAAATTAGTCCTAATTAAGGCCAAATTGACCCCTAATTGAGTTAACATGATTACATCGAAAGCTAACTCAATTAGCCCCCTAAACTACTTCGATCTTAGACAAATGATTATAAAGCATGAATCCTTTGTTCGATATGTCATTGGTTCATCCGACACCTCGTTTGATTCTTCGTCGTATCATCTTCTCTTGCGGTTTATTGTCCAATTGGCCAATTGACCTTCGCAACTCCGATTTCCTTGGCACAATTTCCGCTCTTCTTGGCCCGAAGCCTTCTATCGATATGTCGACTGATCCTCTAGCTCGACGTCCAATCTTCTGACATATTACACTCCGGCCCAACATGATTCTTCCTACTTTAATCAATTTATCTCTCCTTGATCAAAGCTAGTCCTACATCACTTAAATTACAGTTTAGATCACAAACTCATCAATTGATTTTATCATCAAAATCTGAGATTCAATAATCTCCCCCTTTTTTACGATGAGAACCAATTGATAACGAAGTTTAAACTATACTCCCCCTATTAATATGTCATATTGAAATAAGGCATCATTCAAATAAACGATGACCTTTTAGTCTAAGTTGAAATTATTTTAATCACATCATATGCAATACATCATATACATCATCATAATAAAATCATGAGTATTGCATGCAATACTTCAAAACATAATGTATATTTTCAAAATCATCATTACATGCATGATCATCATATATAATTTTAAATTATCATTTTAGGCATAATATGCATGATTATCATCATATATTCTTCCCCTTTGTCATCAACAAAAAGGAGAAATGCATTTACCAAGTTTTTGAGATATGCAAGTTTTATAACAGATAAACTAGCAACAATTTTTAGTTGTGCAAGATTACAAATTTAGCTTCCTTTTTTTTTTTAGATAGCAAGCTAGCAATATAGCAATGCATCATTTTAGAATATCCAATCTAGCAAGTTTTTGTCTTTCTATGAAATGTGCAAGCTAACAAGTTTTAACTTTTTCTTGAATTGTGCAAGTTAGCATATTTTATCTTTCCCTTTGTCATTATAAAAAAGAAGGGAAGAATATAATTTTATAATTATTTTTTCCTTTATATCAATTTTCACATATTGACAAAGATAAATTTAAAACACATGTGATGAGGTATAAAATTTATGAATGCAAGGGAGTATCATAAATAAATCATATCATTAAAGATATAATATCAAACATCATTTGAATACCAAAAGACACGATTCATTTTTGACAAATCTCTTTTTTTGTAAATAGCAAAAGGAAACATAAGGAAATGATCTTGATTTAAAAAGAACACTTAAGTCAAAAAAATCAAAAAATCAAGATCATGATCTAAAAAATGTATAAGAAGAGTTTATGCATTTGAGAGATTTAAGTTTATCATTCAAGCTAGCACTTTTTTTGTTCTCTTTTGCAATGTGCAAGCTAACAATTTTTCTCTCATTTTACAATAATAATTCAATCATATCATAAGTTATACAAATCATAAATATTTCAAATCATGATGGTACCAAAATGTCAAATTATATCATATTATGCATGATCATAATTTCTTATTTGTATGCATCAACATAATATCATGAGTATTTCATGCATAATTTCATATCATCACATGAAGAATATCAAGAAAAATTAATTGGGTGATGAGATATATACTTCGTGAATACACGGGAGTCATGAACCAAATTTCAAATTGTGAATATAAAAAAATCAAAAGAAAAATTATGATTCTTTTTTAATGACTCAAATAGCGAAAAGAAGAATCATAGTATATGATCTTAATTCATTAAAAAAAATCTCATGTTATAATTCAAAAAAAAAAATCAAGATCATGTTATAGATAAGACTTATTCAAATTTAAATCATCAAATAATCAAAATTATTTTCAAGAGATTCAAAAAGAAAACCATAGATAGATCCATTAATCTCTCCTTTTTTTCATCAATGATTCATTTATATCATGAGATATACAAATCATAATTACAAAGGAGTCATATAAAAATCATGACATAAAAGATATTAATATAAAACATCAATTCGTGAATGATTCATCTTGATAAATCTCTTTTTTTGTAAATAACGAATAGAATGATAGGAGATCAAATAAAATATCTTGATTCAATTAAATCTCAAATTAATAACGTCAAGAATCAAGATTCATTTAGATAATTTTTTTTTTAGACAAGTAAATCATACACGAATCAAGAAAATATTTCATATAAAATACATCTCAAGTCACAAACATTGATAAATCATT